GGGTCCTGAGGGTGTTTCCCTCTCTAAACCCCCCCCTAGAAGTGGCGCCCGTTCTGCCTCAAGTTCGAGGGGGTGGTGGAGGACTTCAACTACGGGACTCTGCTCCGCCTGGATTCCCGCCGGGAATACACCGAGGAAAACACCATCTTCGGTGGGAAACGGGCTGGGAAGGGAGGAAGGGGCTGTGGGGAAGCCAAACCCGCAGGTTTGTGCTGGAGGGTTTTTCCTCCTCTCCCGTTTTTCAGCCACCAGGATCCAGTTTTTTGCCATCGAGATCGCCCGGAACAGGGAAGGGTGGAATGACGCCGTTTACAGGGAGCCGGCGGGTGAGGAGCCAAAATCAGGCTGAGGGTGGGGCAAACTCACCTGGAGCCGAGCTGAGGGGGGCAAGAAGCCCCCAGCCCCGCTCTGGGTGGGGGAGCAGCAGGGCTGGACCTGCCTCGGCTGCTCCTCCTGCTCGGGCTGTAAATAAATGTTTTTAAAAACTGATCCCTGTGCTGGTGTCAGTGCCAGGACCCCCCCTTGCCCTGCACCCCCACCTGGGCACGGCTTGTTGCCCAAAATGGGCTGAAATGTGAGGAATTGTGGCCAAATCCATGTGGATTTTGGCTGGAGCTGCGCTGGCACCGCTCGAGGGCAAAGTAACCGTCCACCCCCCCCAATTCCATCTGATTTGGGGGATTTGGGGACACATCTCAGTGGGAAGAGTCACCCTGCAGCAGGCAGGGGAGGGCTTGGGGTGCTGGGGGGATCTTGGGGTTCTGGGGGAAAAGAGTTCAGGGGGTCAAGGGGAGATTTTGGGGTTCTGGGAAGGTCTTGGGGTTTTGGGATAGAGCTGAGGGTGCAGGAGGAGGTTTTGGGGTTCTGAGAGCTTGGGGTGCAGGGAGAGATTTTGGGGTGCTAAGGGAGAAGGAGAGATCTTGAGTTTCTGAGGGAGAGCTGAGGGTAGAGTGAGACATTTTGGGGAGCAGGAGGAGATCTTGGGATTTTGGGGTGGAGCTCAGGCTGCAGGTGAAGATCTCAGGGTGCAGGGGAAGATCTTGGGGCTCTTTGGTACATCTTTGGGGTTTTGGGGAAAAACCAGGGTGCAAGGGGGGAGATCTTGGGGTGCAGGGGGGGGAACTCAGGGTGCCAGACACGTGTCAGTAGAAACCATTGAAGTTTTTATTTTGCAGTCACAATGCTTACACTGTTTGCAGCAAACACCCTGACAAGTCAACCAGCATCTGCTCACGCGAAAAAGGACCCAACACACAATCGCCAGAGGAAAGAAAACAAAATATTAAAAAAAAAAACAAAACAAAAAGGAAAAAAAACCCAAACAAACAAACAAACAAAAAAAAAAAGAGGGAGGGGAGGAGAAGGAGGAAAATAAAATTAAAGAGTAGGTGGTGTCTGGGAAGAGAAACTGAAGCCCTAAGGACCGAGTGTCTGTGGGTAGAGCTGAGCAAGAGGATGCACACGACTAGCAGCAACAATAGTGGGAAAATACAAGGCAAACAGGTTCCCTCCCCCATCAGCTTTCCTCTGCTAAGTCAATTCTCATGTCAATTTATATCCAAAACATTTATCGTGGTGACTTAGAAAAGAACTGGACTCGTTCCCCAGGGGTGTTCAATACTTCATGCTGGGCAAACCTTGTTATTAAGAAGCCTCCCCTGTGCTGCCGTGAGCTCCTGCTCCAACTGGGGGGGGGGGGGGGAAGGGGAAAAAAAACAGAACTGCAGGAGGAGGGGAGGGCCCTGGGAGGGGACAGGGGCTACTGCTCGAAAGAGGGATGGGGGGGACAGGAGAGACACCCACGAGCAAGCACGAACGGAGGGTCACGCCATGGCTTCGAGTTCCTAATAACAAGGGCGAGACGGTACCGGGAAAATTGTGATTTTCGAGGGGGGCTTAATAAGAAAAAATATACATTTTGGAATTTTACAGTGCCTTTTTTTTTTTTTTTTTTTTTGTCGGGTTTTGTTGTTTTTTTAATTTTTTTATTAATTTTTTTTTCCTGCTTCTCTCTACTGTCACTAAATAGATCTCTGCACTTTCACACAGTCACCCCCTCGCCCAGTAAAGCTTCAGGCCACGCTTTCCTCACTCTCATACACAACCCTCACGCCAGCACCGGTGCACCAGGACTCTGTAAAAATTTCAATCACACTGTATTTTTTTTTTTTTTTTTTTTTTTTTTT